AATATAAGTGATATAATTCATCTTTTGTCATTATTAAAAAATGGTGTGCGTATTCACACATTTTTTTAAATCTAGGGTGACTCATCTTAATTTGATATAAAAAATTTGTGATCATATCAGCATAGACAATACTAGTCACAGCGAAAAGAAGAAATACAATTGGTATAAGGCTATTTCGATAGAACTTCTCCTGCCCCTGAAATACAATAAAACAAATCCAGTTGTTTCGAAAAATTATAAAATTTTATTACACGAATTTTATTTTTTATAAGAACCCTTATAAGTTATAATAAAATTATGTATGTAATGTTAAAATAAATGTAAAGGATGTCTGAAATGAAATCATGAATTTTTCTGGAGGGTATAAAAATGGATGAATTTTGAATAAGGATTTACCATGTTTATGATAAACATAAAACGTTTGCAGAATTTCAGAGCATTGCAAATGAAAAAAAAAAAACCAAGTTGTGTAACATTTTGCGGATTTATCTTCAGTTGCAATGCTCTGAAATTTTGCAAATGTTAGATAAATTTCAAAATGTTATAAAATTTTGTTTCTTTTTTTTTCAAAAATATGTAGGTGCAGGGTAAAAACTCAACACAGATTCACATACAGCAAGCGCAGGAGTTGGTATGTTATTTTATTCCGAGTGTCCCACGTAACAATTTCGGGCGTAATTTTTGAACGGATTGTTATGAAATTTGAAATGTAGGTATTTTGTTAGGTGAGGATTAATATGAACCGATGAGAATAATCATTATCTTGAAAAAGTAAATTTACCATGCCTTAATTTAATTTTAAATTAATTCAGTTTTGCATCACTTGATTAAACATGAAAAATAAATACTGTATGCAAAAATGCATCTCCGAAATACGTCTGGTTAGCCAAAAAATGATAAATTATTGCGCAAATAATTCCAAAAAGTATTAAAGGATAGGTAGCGATGAAACAAAAGACTGCATTCCTCGCATTTTGGACACCCTTGCGGGAAATTGATACCTGCTTGCCAAGCGTTATTTTATGAATATTATCAAATAACAAATATCAAAGATCAAATACGTACCTTTATTGATGTGACAACCGCAGTTTTACATAAGTCAAAATTCCAAATTAAATACATAATGCCGGCTTATATAACATTTTTAAAATTAAAACTACATAGAAAGTAATCCTCAAATGAATAAAAACAATTTCTATTGACAAAAGACCGCACTTGTTTTTTAAATTTGGGCAGTGGCAAAATACGGACATTTGATGGCAACATATTAAAAAATTTAACTCCATAGTATTTTGTACAGTTTTGAGTGCATGTTAATCTATTGTGTTTCGATATTAAGTTGTTTATATGTCTAGTATAATACTTATGGGTATCAGCGTGGCAATAATAGTCTTGAAAATTTTGTTTAACGTACACTAAGCTTGAAAAGATATATAACGAAGGAAAAGTCATAATCTCTAAATTAATAGAACTCTGTCTACAATCTGGCCTATAGTTTAATCCAGATATTAAGAAAATACTAATTTTCAGTTGCTCGGATACAACCTTTTCGAAGGTGCAAAATTGCTGTAGATTAACATCTTGTTTTGTTTACTCGTTTTAGGTCTTGTACACTTCCCGTATCTTCAAATAAGTTTATTATTCTCTGTACTTTGAATTTGGTAAATTCGTCATCGGACCCATCGAGATACCGTTCGATAAGTCCTGATTGTTTCATCTAGGTCTGTACGGCATTCTCCGTAGGTTAAAATGATTTCTGTTTTAATAATTAAAGAAAAGCGAACCATTTTCAATAAATTGTCAGTTTTTGACAAAAATGTCAGGGGTGTACACCGACATCACTATTAAATTTAACAAAACAAATTAACGTAATTCTTTTAAATAAAAATAGTGATTTGATTAATTTTTCGCGCACAGGCATTATTTCACTTGCTTAAAGTTACAAAGCAATTTTGAATAATTTTTAACAACTGGAAGCTGTGTTAAAATTCGTTTTTTGTACGATAAAATAGTTTTCTTGATATCAGCCTAATCTTTACCTATTATATTACACCTGTTTTAAATTTCATAAAAATCCCTTCAAAAATACCTGAGTTACTGCGCCCGAAAGTGTTACGTGGGGCACCGAGCACCCGGTATAATTTAAGTACTCATACTACTGTAAATTTTGGAGTTGATGTCATCACTTTATTGGTGGGGATGATTAGACAAAGTTCGGTTATTGTTGTACTGTCTACACGATATTCATAATACACATACATATAAAATTTGAGAAAAATCTATTTAACGAAAATCGACACAGACGGGAGACAGGCGGACAGACAGACAGACAGATAGGCAGACGAAAGCGAGAGACTTATTTTTTAGTACTCTAGAGTCATGAAACGTCGAGAAAACATGAAAGTCGCCAGTCGCTCGATGGATTCGATTATAATACTTTTTTTCACTAGCAGCCTGGACGCATGCAAATGTCGACTCATTTAGTGGTAGCAAATTCAACTTTTGCTACCACGGGTTCAAAAAGAAAAATTGGGGTTATGTACGCAATGTTTGATGTGATTATTTCTTAAAAAATGAACAAATGTGTGCTACAAACATTACTTGAGTATACGCATGGTAGTTGGTAGACGGTAGAAGATAAAATGATTAACTCAGCGACAAGTATAAACGGTTTTCTTTGTGTTGAAGATTTAGATCAAGTTTGATTAGAAATCAAAACAAAATCATGTTGCGTCAAAAAATTGAACGTTTATTTTTCAGTTTATTGTCTTATGGTTTCTACTAGTGAAAAAAATAGTATATTAACCACGGTTGCAAAGCCACTTCTAGACCTCGCACTTAGAGCCCTCGACACTGCGCGTCTCGGGTTCTAATTTGCGCTCGGTCTAGAATGCTTGGCTCTGCAACCTTGGCTAATAATATACTATTTTAGCTGACGCTCGGGAAGTAAAAACTATAGTGCAATAACCATCATCAATATTTTTCTAAATTTGTCTAGATTTTATTAAACAAGTTAAACAGTCATCAGTTATTGTCTAGACATCACAGATTTGTAAAAGAAAGGCTGCGGATACAAATATGTCCTTTATTAATACCAATACGTCACATACGTTGGATAAAAAAGACAAGTTGATATTGCTTGATATGATTTTTCTACGACATTTGCTGGAAACGGAACTTCATCGGATTGTCTAATGAATGAATTTATTATTATTATTATTGTAAAATGCGATCGGGCAGAGGTTACTACCTGTTATGCCCGCGCTCACTAATGGGAGTACTCAATAAATAAAGCGTATGAAGTAAATATGTTTAACTACGATTAAGGTTTTCGTCAATATGATTATCGTACTTCATTTTAAAGGTGGCTGTACTTTTACTTTGTACAACTTCTGCAGGTAGAGAATTCCAGGCATTAAACACACGGTTAACAATGAAGAACTGTCTAACACTGGTACGAAACCGGTCTTTAAGAAGTTTGTATGAATGCCCTCGTGTCCGTCCGTCTGTATTGAGAGGAAATATATGCTTTATCGGAGAATTATCGTCTGTCAGAGCATTGTATACAGTTATCACGTCACCTCTAACTCGCCGATTCGAAAGCAGCGGAAGTTGCATAATTGATAATCTTTGGTGATACTGGGGTCTATGGTAGCCATAAGGAACACGCGTAGCTCGTCTTTGAACAGACTCGAGAAGATCTTTGTCGCGCTGGAATATGGGGGCCCACACTGCATTAGCAAATTCCAAGATCGGCCTAACATATGTTTTAAACAATTTAGAAAAAGTTAACGGATTAGTTTTAGTAAATACTTTACTTATGAGGTAAAGTACTTTATTGGCTTTTCTTGTAACTTGACTAATATGGTCGGACCATGATAATGTGGAAGTTACCAGAACACCCAGGTCAGTACAGGATTCATACCTTCTAAGCTCAAGATTATTAATATAATACAGATGTCTTGGATTGTTCGCTCCAACAGACAACACTTTACACTTGTCGACGTTAAGTGGCAGTAACCATTCATTTGACCAGGTATGGACGGTTAAAAGATCCCTACAGAAAACTAGATGATCATTCGCTGAATTATAAATTTTTAAGTCATCAGCAAACATCGCAAAAGGAGATTTCAGTCGAACACCTAAGTCGGTTGTATAAACTGTAAATAAGAGTGGACCAAGCACTGATCCTTGCGGCACACCACTTAAAACTCTAGAATGATGACTTAATACATATTATTTGTTCTTATCAATTATAATATAACAAGTGATATGATTATTATCGATAATATTTCGAGTGAAACCGAGCTGCAGATTCAACGAGTGCGAAGCACTCGTTGAATGTGCTGCTTCGGTTTCACGAGCCATATCTTCGATTATTAATCATATCACGAGTTATATTCAACATGAGAATATAATAAATGAACATATTTTTTGATCATAGAATTGATTTCGTCGTTTTGAGCTTGCCCCCAACGTTGGCAAGCCATAATAGACAAAAAAATTTATGAAATTCTAAAGTTTGTCAAATTTGACAGTTTTTAAATTTAGGTAGCAACAGACCACAATAAGGCAATAAAATTGTTATCGCTGTGATAGCCATGTAACTAAGGGCATGGACAAATTCTATTGGAAGAAATGGGGTCATGTGATCCATGAATTATATTCTCTCAATTATAGAACCAACTATTTAGAGAATCAATTTTATACGAGTAGTGTACCGCATGGGTATGCTTTAGGCCCCTTATTATTCTCACTGTCTATTAATGATATTGTACTGCAAAATTTAGTCAATTTATATTATTAAAATCAGTATATTACTCCATGTTTGATAGTTTTTCTCGTTTTAATTTTATTTAGGTAACACTGCTTGTATTATTTGTTATTAATTTTCATGTATATACAATTTTATCTTGTAATCAGTAGAATACCACTGCCATATAATAATTTTTTATTGATTTAGATATTTCTTATTCTGCGTTAATTGAAATGAAACAACATTTCGGTACAGCTGCTTTATTTTCGTAACGTTTCCACTATTTCAAATTTTGTTTATTTTTGACTTTCCTACTCGATGCCTCAGTCACACGGACAGCATTCGCCTTTCTCCTCTTGTGCTTCAAGTTCCTTGCAGCTCTCCGAATCGAACATTTTACAATATACTCGGTGTGACCAATTCCTCATACGAGCAGGAAATCCGGCAAGGCTGGAAAAGGTGGCAGTAACCATTCTGTTCCACTTCTGCTGTAGCTCGTACACTCCAGTTTCATGATCTATCGGAAATTTGTCGCAACAATACGGGTCCTTCTCGAACATCTGCGTACACAAAAAGGAATATTAAGACTAGGCATGTAAGCAATAAGAGTATGTGCAAAAAAGGGTAAAGAGAGTTATTGTGGACTTTAACTGCAGTATGTAAATTCTGAGGGATTAAGCTGCTCAGAAGTGAATCGGGTTGCAGATTTATTTAGCTTGGAGGATTACAGTGATATTGGTTATACAAATAAGTATAATTAAATGCGCACTTATTACTAGTTATTTACAAAGTTTGCTCTGTGTTAACAGTTTACCAGCTTATTTAAGTAAAGTTGCTACATCCGACTTTATTATTGACTTTCTAGCAGATATTTTTGATTTAAATCTACTACTACAACTGGCTTTCGGTGCAACTTTCTTGTGAAAACTACAGTTTGCTTGTTTTTAACCTTACATTAATTAACTGAAATATATTTTTCTCAAATTCTTTTAAATTAATCTCCTGAACCGAAACTCCAATAAATACACTAATCAACAAAAAAAACCGGCCACCCTGAAAAATTTGGCAAAACCAAACTTTAAAAATTATTAATTTTACTAGCGATCGTTATTTTATTAAAGAAACATTCACTATTGACACATGATATATAAATTAACAAAAAAAAAGAGAAGACAAATAAACGTAGAATTAAATTTAATTTGACAAAATAACAGAAACAAAGCGAAAATTTGAGAGACGTCTGTAAGAGTTAACGACATTATTTTCGCGTGAAAACGTTTATTAATTCTCAAACTTATAATCAAATGATGGAAAACACTGTTTACAACAACAGTTTCATTTGTTGTTTTTTTAAGAAAATATCGTACTTGGTTTATTTCTGTAATTTTGTTAAATTAAATTTATTTCTGCGTTTATGTGTCTTCTTTTTTTGGCTAGTTTGTACATGATGTGTCTATGGTGAATGTTTGTTTAATAAAATAACGATCACTAGATAAATTAATAATTTTTAAAGTGGTTTTGAGAAATTTTTCAGGGTGGCCAGTTTTTTTGCCGGTCAGTGTATTTTGTTTTTTAATAAAAACTGACTTTGGGGAGTTTCTTTATTTTAGATTCGTACTGTAGATTTTGCGGCTCCGCTTTTTGAGTCTTTCAAACCATTTCAGAATGCCCCAGCGAATAATACTATTTTCGGCTGTTACGGCACAAAAACTTCCTTAATCAAACCCTTTATGCGCCGACAATATGCAACCTGTCAATAAATAATGACGCTCCAATTGCGTTTAATTGTCAACCCAAGATTTTGTTTAAATAGCGTTTAAGACCTCGTCTCGACTGAATAGCGAGTGTCTCGGCCCGAATTGTAATACTACGTTTGTCTTTGTCGTAATGGAAAACTACTTAGAACTCTTGGGATCGTAACTCACCGAAATGTCAGTGCATTTCTGACGGATTGCGAACTTGCAGAGACAGTTGTTGCGGAAGCTCTATGGGAATAGTTTGTTGTCGGTCTGGTTTTCTTGCTTTCGTGCCGCACTATAATTCTCTCAAACTGTAAAGGATCGTTTTATTACACATACCTTGGCAAAAAACGATGCCGACAACTTAATTGCCAATTTAAGCGTGTTAAATTCGTTTAATGCGGGCAAATATTTGTAGTCGAGATTCCGGCGGAAGGAGAGGGATTGGGGTTTCATGCAGAGGGTTAAACCTAATGTGTTCTATTAGCTTTAAGCTAACAGTAAAGCATTGTTGCAATGTAGAGGGCATATATTTTTCATTGAATTAATATTGGACAATAGGCAACTTTGGAAGGTTCATTTAACGTTTAAACTTAGAGATAAATTTTAAAAACGATTTTTCACTGGTTAAATTATTCAATAGGTACAGCTTCAGAAGACATAGTAGCACTATTTCAAGATCTAGTTGACAAAATTGATTAAGTGAACAGATAGAAACATTTCTTAGTTGGTGTTTTAAGTTCATTTTTTGTGGTGGTTTCTTAAATATTTAAGAAATTTGTTGATTTTTTATTCCATTTTTTCTAAATATGTACATTAATATAATGAACAAAAAGCTTATTAAAGGCAAATAATATTTATACATCTCATGGCAACGTCCGGTAAATCAGAATATTAATAAATACTCATAAATGTTACTTTCTATGGATGTATATTGAATGAAAAAGGTGGAGGCGCCGGGTCAATTTTTTATTTTATTATATTTCAAAATATATTTATAATATCCATATATAGCATGTTCCACGGTTCAGTTTAAGCACTCTATATATTTCTTCAGTTTCAACCGTTTCAGAACTTTCTTAATCAACGTGAATTTATAAATTATTTTTTTCTCTCATTTAATATATTTTGACCATTCTGAATAAATTTTAAAGCGATCAAAATACTGAAAGATAAGAACATATAGATTGGAAAAGCACTAAAACCCTAATGTAAGAAACTGTATCTAAAATTTGTGAGAAATAAGGATACACATGTATGAAACATACAAAATTGAGGGAAACCAAAATTAGGTAACGATTTTTTTTTGGAGTCTCAGATGATGTAAATGTGAAGCTTAAAGCTACGTTTTCGGGACTTGAATGCAAATAATATTTCATATAATATATATAACTATTTCACTTATTTAATTATTGATGAAATTATTTTTTATTGATTTGTCCGTGTTGCTAGTGGAGGTAAGTTTCATGAATCCTGGGCTTTAGCAGATATTTGAGAAATACCGTGCAGATGAATTCGGAGTGATGGGAATGTTATATACTTCTATAATGAAGCTTTCGATTTAAGTTAATATCCATAGTGCAACGTTAAATTAGGCAATAAAAAATTGAACAAGATTAATGAAACAATTTAGAATCACTAAATGGCTAGAAAAATAAAAATGAATGAATTCAGAAAAAATATTTTTAAAAGAATTTCTGAAAAAATGTATAGGGTGTCATTAAAAAAAAGTTGATTGTCGACAAAATCAAATAAACATTAAAAGTCATTTTTTAACTCAGGCGTAGAATATATATACATAGAAGACGATTTCATGTGGTGGATACACACAATACTGTACTGTACATTCTACTGGAAAATATATATATGATAAATACGGGTCTGAGCTTGTTTACCAAACAAGCGATGTATTTTAAAACAGACTACGCGTCTGAATCAAATTTAGAATTCATGCAAATTACGAAATTAGAGATGAAGGGCTAATTTATAGAATATTTTAAGTGAGCTTCAGTTAATCACGCATTTAATGATGCGTTTAGTAATATCTGACTGGCGTAGACACGGTCACGTGATATTTTAAGGCTGCATTAAAAATTTAATCGTAATGAAATATTTAATTAAGCTTTCGTAAATCGACTCTAGATGTGTTATAAATCCAGAATTAACTTCAAAAATGAAACCTGACTTAGCCTGAAGTAACTGATCTTTCGAGCTGACCTGGCCTCATCTGACTTGACCTGACCTGAATATCAACACGAATCCGACGGAAGAAATGAACATCCCGAGTTATTCAACTGATGTTGAAAAAAAGAATAAAAATTAGTACCGACCGAGAAAAATGTAAAGTATTTAGAGATCATGCGTGAAGAAGTATAAAAAAATATAAAAAAGTTTAGGATACACGCTTATGAAACGAAATTTCTACAATAACAGGAAATGCGAACACAGCTATGAAAATAGTGTTACGAGATAAACTCATGGACCGACTAGATGCGCCCCCTATGACAGTAGCGCATTGCCATGATGACTCATAAGCAGGCCTAGGTTTCCGGCACCTTCGAGGAAAAGCTAGAAGTGGTTCCTGAAGCTTCTCACAGGTCCAGCGCTGATCGCTGTATAGTTAGTTGTATTAGTTGTACAGTATTGTATTACCAATAAATAATAATTGTTGAGTTCTTACCCACGATTTTAATCTTCGTGAAACGTAACAATAGTGTCAGGAGTGGGATGCAAGATTAATAATAATGATTATTGGTTTTACGAGGATTTATAGGCAGCTTGGAAAAGAATTCTGAAAGTATGTGCCTGTCCGAGACCAGAGCTCAAATTGCAGTAGCAGACGAGTAAACTTCTCATAGATTCATTTGAATGATGTTCTGTTATACATATACTTAAATCTATCGAATGCAGTGAAAGGTTAAAGATTGGAGTTTTTCAAAGGAGATGATGCGATGGCTATGCTCAAAAATGGACACAAAAATAGATAATTAAAAGATGACATAATCATCAGCCGAACAGAAACTTTCCAAAAAAAGTGGAAACAAACTAAAATTAAAGATCAAATGAAGTACACAAAAATAATTTTGGAAGTGATGGAAAAGATAGTCGGACGAAATATATTCTCAATGGACGAAAAAGTAAAAAAGTTGAGAATCAGTTAAATGCTGAGTTAGAGAAATATATGCAAGAATGCATGAGAGAAAGGTATAGAAGATTGACTGGAAAGTAAAATGTAGAAATTTAAAAGACAATAAAAAATGCAGCAAGGACTGGTTTATGTAATATGTCATCGTACAAGAAGCAGTTTGAAGCAGATCCTTGCGAAGAAGACCAGAAGGCTACAGTTTTGATAAGAGCTTAATAACTACTGGCCTAGAATTTTGATTTCGGTGTGAACATCTAAAACAAGTTTTTACAGAGCAAGTACACAGAACATAGAAAGTTGGTGAATCTCTACAAAAATTTGAAGCAGTAGAAACCTTTTTAAATGGCATTCTCGACCTTAAAGTTAAGAACTTAACTTGGTGTTTTGGAAGGGGAGGCTGCTTACAATATTTCAAGAACGTGCCATAAAGTCATAGTAGCAGAACTAGAGATGCAAGAAAACGACAAAGTAGAACAGCTGTGGGAAAAAATGTCGCAGCAAATAGACGGCTTATCTCAAAGACTGGAGAATAGCGTGCCTCATAAGAAAAGCCTAGAATACTATAGATGTGACCGCCAGGGACATCTCAAACGTCATCGTTGTGCTTGATTACCGGATTCAGAAAACAAAAAACGGCCAGTAGTTTGAGGGAATGTGCTGGATGGTAAAGATACAA